TTAAATAGATTGATTAAATCGCTTATATTATTATTATATTATTTCATATCAAAAAATAAAAATATCATATATTTGAGAGTAGAATTCAATCTGATAACTCCTTGTGTATAATAATTTAACATATATAAGAATTTTACTTTATATAGATATATAAAATTGTATATAACAGTACTATTAATAAATGAGTTTAAAAAAATTTAGAAATCCTTATAAAAAAGTTCAAAGTAAGTTCAAAGTGAAATATGAGTAAAAAAATAAAAATTAAATAAAAGTATATAAGTGGATATAATTGACTTTATCATAATAATTAGGGATAAAATTAAAAATTAAAAATTAAAAAATTTTCGCACATCTTGACATTTATAAGTAAAATATAGGTATAGGTATAGATGTAGATAGGTATGTAATTAAATTTTTTTGTTCTTTTTATTGTCATTGTGTGCTGGAAATAAAATAATCATTTATCCAATTATAAGAATGTTATAAAAATTAGTGAATCTTATTACATCTTTGTCATAATTTTTTGCCAAGCAATATGAAAAATCCAATTAATGATTGTTTTTTCTTGGATCTCTTCAACCACACGAAATTATTGAATGCAAAACGAAAATGAAAAGAAAAAGACCTTTGCACCAAGGACTTGTATAGCGTAATTATCTAGAACTCTAATTCTTATAAAAAAAAATAAATCAAATTTTTTTCATTTGATTGTGATATTTCAACTGTCTAAAAATAAATATTAAACACAAAACAATTCAGGCGGTCTACGTCTACCAGATTTCTCGATGTTATCGTCAAGTTTTTTTATTCATTTTTTTTAAATCCAAAAAATTATGGTTTTGTTTATATTACAAACATAATTGTACAAGTAATCATACCAAACAACCGCTATTTTGACGCATGCAATGCCCCACTAGGCACCAAGTGTTCATTAGTGCCTTGATTATCACCGCTCTCTCTCTCTCTCTCACAGGAAAACACTGTAACAGCCTCTCCCTGTTATGCTCTTCCCCGTTTTGCTCTCCCTTTGCTTTCTTCCGTTTTACACCATCTTTTATCCCTCAAACAACCCTTGAAACACTCAAAATACAGAGATACATCATATACATAGAGAGAGAGAGAGAGAGAGAGAGAGAGAGAAACTGTGTAGGACCTATGGGTTGCATACCTATCATGCAGTTGTAGAGATGGAAACAACGATCCAAATAAAACCATTGGTTTTCAGATGTTTCTTTTTCTCTCTTTTTCTCTCTATGCTTTTCCTCCTCTTTCTCTGTCGCCAAGCCACCACCAAGCCACCAACCTACGTCGACACCAACACAAACACGGACCTGAGATTTCGACCCGGATACACCTCTTACGAAGCATACATCCAACGGCAGCTCAACAAAACCCTAAACGATAAACTCCGTCGAATATGGACCACCCGTGATTGGGAGCGAAAGATCCAAATTTTCTCTATCTTCTTCACGGAACTCAAACACAAAAACCTCCTCTCCAACTCCTCCAAATCTCTCTCCATCGGAGCTCGGGTCGGGCAAGAAGTCGAAGCACTGAAACGGATCGGAGTATCTGACTCAATCGGCATTGACCTGGTCCCATACCCACCTCTCGTGATACATGGAGACTTTCATCACCAGCCGTTCCATAATGAGACTTTCGATTTTGAGTTCTCGAACGTGTTTGATCATGCTCTGTACCCAGATAAATTCGTTGGGGAGATCGAACGGACTTTGAAGCCTGGTGGGGTTTGTGTTCTACACGTGGCATTGTCGAGACGGTCCGATAAGTATTCAGCTAATGACTTGTACAGTGTCGAACCGTTGAAGAAGTTGTTTCGCGGGTCTGAGTTACTTTATGTGAGAACCGTTGATGGGTTCGGGTTGGATACTGAAGTGGTTTTCAGGAAACGGGTGACTTTACGATCTTGATTGGTTTTGTTTTCATTTTTTTTTACGATGATGGTCATAGTGAAGTGTACACATTTTAATTTATAAACTTTTATTGAATATTTGTTGAATACATGATTATTTACTTAGACTTAATCTCAATATCTAATCAGATTTGGATCTAAAGAAAAGGCGACAGTCTTAAATAAATTTATCTGACGGTCACTAACATTCTTCTCAAAATCATTCATGTTGTATCGTGTTTTCAGATACAAGTTTAATATAATAGTTGAATTAATTGTGAATTCTAATATACATAAAATCCACTTTTAATTCAATAATTCTAATTAATTAAGTTTCAAATAGTATTTTTTTTTATCACATTTGGTTAGATAAAGAACTAGCGGCATCCCTTATATTTTCTACTCTCATCCCACCCTAGTATTGTTGAAAGATTATTCATTACTTTGATAAATTAAAGAGGATAAAATAAAATAATTTTGTGGGAGTAATTGTTATTAAATAATTAAAAATTAAATTTAGAGGAGAGATATTGTGTGAGAGAGATAATGGGAGAAAAACTTGGGACAATTGAGAAATTTTTGGAATTATTATCTTATTAATTAGGTTCAGTGGTATAAAGACAAATCAAAATTTTAAATTTTAAAAATAAAAAATTCAAGGAAATTGGGATGAAATTTTAGAGCTTATCCAAGCCAAGCCAACAATATTAATTTTTTTTTAATTTTTAATGTTTGCAAAAAACACCTATAATCTCACTATATATATAAATCAATTTTGTTTTAATTCCACTAATATTTGAATCAGTTAGATTTTTAATTTTTAAAAACTCATTTCTTGGGAATTTGACAGAATCATTCAATTCCATTAGCACCTCTAACACATCCCTCTCCGCTTTTCATGCAGAACTCTCTCTCCACACACAATCTTGCATGCGCATTGAGCGGTCCACCTACCATAGTGGTTATGGCGTGAGGATGATCCTAATGATTAATCATCAGCGAGGATCAAAAATTTATTTTTGGTGTATTATTTTGATCACTTAGAGAACATAAACGTTTTGACGAATTTCAAAAATATTTTAACCTATTTCGAAAACATAATGAAAAAATAAAAATAAATAATTTTTTTTCTAAAATATTAGTCAAAATATATCAAAATATCTTAAAACATTTCAAAACAATTATACAAATACATTGAAATGTTACAAAATACCTCAAAATATTATAAAAACACCTTGAAATATTAAAATTTTAATTTTATCGCTGATTCATTTCAATCTTATTAAAAACAAAAATATTTCAATTGTTTCAAAATAAAATTTTAAGACTGGATCAAGAGGATGCGACCTTCAACCCATTGCTAATACATACGGTGTTATATTAAATTGGTTACACTTTATTTGATTAGATGACGGAACATAATAGAAAGATTCCATTTTTAATGGACCCAAAGGAGTTGATTAAGGGTGGAAACTGAATATCAAACTAGTAAATAGAGTTAACGTCAAAATCAGTAATCGAAATAAGACCCAAAACAAGACAAGTTACATCAATTTTTTCTCGTCTTCGATTAGGAAACACAATCATTACTTGAACAAAGAGTAATTCGCGGAATGACCTTCATATTAGGCTAGTTTAAAATAAATGATTATGCGTTACAGAATCTCCAACCAAATTTTGTATTTTAATTATTCAAAAATATATATTTTTTATTTTAATTATTCACTTTTTTAAGACACACTCTAACAGATTTTTTATATTTTGACTACTTATTTTAAATATTATTTATCATATTTTGTACGTTTGTTAGAAATGTTAAAGACAGAGAGAGAAAGAATAGAAAAAAGATAAATAGTGGACAAGAGAGATAGAAAATGACAAGAGAAGAGAACACCATTGTAACAAAATTGTATCTTACTTACTCTGGATATCTTTAGAGCATGATTTTTATCTTTGAATAATTAAATTTTAGTTATTTTGTAATTTTAACCATTTTCTTGGAGATATTCTTAGAGATAGGAAACGGGTTGAACCAGGTCTATTGGCCCACCAATCAACTGCGTGTCAGAGGGCGGACAACTAAGACTGATAATCAAGTCGAGTTTTATGAGTTTAAGTTAAGTCTATGAGCTTAAAAAATTATTAAAGCTCAGCTAATTTAGAAAATTAACCGAATTCAAACCCAAAACGGCCCAAATCCAAATAACTCAACTATTTTATATATAAACGAGCCGAATTTTATAAATTTAAAAAAAACGAGCTTAAAAAATTATTTAACCTCAACTCCTTTAACTCAGCTCAATTAAATCCTATCCAACCTAAACCTGAATAATTCAACTCAATTATCAATCCAATAACTAGCAGGGGTTACATTGACTAGTGTCCCTTCATTGTTTTTTGTTCTTGTACAAGAAACCAAAATTATAAGCATATAAAACTGGCAAAGTGCCTTAATTCAAAACCTCGTTGGGGCCTGTTTGGATGTTTATTTTTTGAGGAGGTTTTGATTGAATTTATAAAACCTTTCCAAACCTAGCCCCAGCCCTAGTCCCACGGATGCACATGGGATTTGATAAAAAACCCTACCAATCTCATATTTAGTAAGAGACATAAATACATGTAAAACTCATTAATTCATGTCAAATCATATTCCTCAATTTATTAAAATATCTATTATTGGGTGAATAAAATAATAAATTTTTAAATAAAATAATCTTTTTGTCAACAAATCCAATCTCACATTTGAAACTCACCCCGCCATGGATTTCATCAAACCCCCATTTGTGGGTTTTAATCAACTATTTACTATGGGCCAATAGCGGGCCAGAATTCTTTTACCAGCCTCAAATTTTGAACGAAACATCAGTTTAAAACGTGCATTAAACTATTTTTACAAAACCCATCCTTTAAATCTCTTCTAAGCCTACATACCAAACATGCCCAAAAGCAATTCAAAAGGCCTGAGGTCAAAAGAGAGAATTTCTCAAGGGAAGGAGGATAATACATCACTACCCAAGCAAGACAAATCTATATTTGATCAGAGGATGATTCCTTGACTGTCTGGAACAACATCGACTGGCTGGTTTTCAGTATCTTCCATTTGTGATTGGGATGCTGTGAGCTTGGCCTTCTTGAATCTACTCGAACTTCGAAGGATCATATCCATGGTTATATTCTTCGGCCCTGAAGATCTGCTCCATGAACCAATTGAGGTGGTCAGAGATACCAGTGTAACAATAGTTTGGAAGTTCAGATATGCAGAGAAATGGTGTTCAGTGCATATATTATGCCTAAACAATTTGTTTTCGAATAAAAATTTCTGCCAAAACATTTTTGATCAGACACAAGAAAACAAATATGTGGAGTATATTAAATGCCATAATTTTCATTCGTTTAATATCAGTAAAACATGAGAAGCTTTACGGGGACTCACAGTTTCCAACAGCATATGGATTTATCAATTTTGTTTCTTATCTTTTTCCAAATGATGACAAAAGGACTCGCCATTTTGTCTCGCTAGTAAGAAATCTCATTTGATCACAAAACTAGTAAGTTTTATAAAAGTAGGCTCATGTGATGTGTGTGCGTGTGTTACATACATACAAGTTTAACTCCCATACGCCTTAGTATTTACTGGTGGTTTTCTTTAGTTAGGAGATCTTTACATAAAGCTGGGGGAAGAGTAACTGTGGTAGAGAAAGATAGTTCTCAGAAGCAGTTATAGCAGTGGAAGGGATTTAAATTATAAGTGATTCTGTGACTAATTAGAGGTTAACACATTTCGGTCGCATATCATAACACAGTTGCACACACTTTTAATATAGTGAGAGTCAAAGTAGGAGACAAAACCTAGCCCTGGCTTAATATGTGGTAATAGATCTAATAGACAGGTGAAGTTACTCCTTTTTAACCAGGCTCTGCAGGAAACAGGTGCACCACGTCCCGCTCAACAATCATAAGCAAAGTCGAGCTTCTTACGAGCAATACAGGACAAGTCTGAGAGCATATAATTGTGATCATAAACAAAATAGGTTCATAATTTATAAGCATGCTGTCTTCCAAAATAATTACAAGCAAGTGCATTCCAGGGTGTTGTATATGAACAAATTTTATTGCTGGAAAATGTCCATGAGGTGTGCATTATGCAACTATGCAAGCATGAAATCGTGAAACAGGTAAGCGAAAAATTTGTTATGACAAATAAGTAAATCTTAGACCAGCAACGAAACTTACTGTGGCTTTAAGATGTTTCTTCCAACATCTTCGTTCCTTTTTGAAGAACCTGTAGCAAATTGAGATGGGAAAAAAGGAGATGAGCTACTAGAAGTCCATACAAGAGTGGGTAGACAAATTGTAACAAAAAATTTGAGCACATATCACAACTGGTTCAGTTCAACATCAGAGGTCCTGGGAACCTAACACATCTGCAATTTTGCTCAGATATTAGAGACTGAGAAGAATGGTTTACTAAAGAAAATGTATTTATGGCCACACTCATATTGTAAAAGTACAGTCAATCATGTATTATATTGACCAGGCACTAAAATGGAACAAATGATGAAAGCACTTGCTAAAGAGTTACCTCAATTATTTATCTTTTAAAGTAAGAGGGCAATTCATCAGAGAGTAAGCACAAGACACATTAAATACACAACGACAATATTAAACACTGATATTGGACATACCATTTCTTCGTAAGTCCCAACTCGACTGGGTTTCCCCTTCCGAGTAGCCTGATGAAGATGAATTATTTGATGGGGTGCAGGTGCTGGCACTAGAATTTACAGTCCCATTTTCATCAGCAGAACTCTCATCACTACCATCCATAAAAATTGACCCTGGTGTAGTCAACAAACTCTTCTCACGTTCTAAATTGTTCTTGCCAGAAATTTTTCTAGCTGCCACATGATGCCTTTCGTCCCTTTTATTTGGGAGTGACCTTGCAGATCTTCTTGAGCTTGGGCTTGATGCAGCTGAAGAATCACAGTTCCACTTTGGAGAAGCAAGGGCAGGCCTATTGGTCTCAGCACCATTCTGAACATGATGCTGTCTGGCTTCTTGAGGAGTTCTGATTCCATGATTGTCAAGAAAATTTGGAGCTTTGGCCTCACTTACAGCAACTTTTGACAATTTCTTGTTAGGGTTAAGCATGACCTCATTATGCTTATCTTTCGATAATGATATCTGTAGTGGAATACTACTAGTATTTCTAATATGAGATTTCTTCTCATTCTCCAGGTTTTCATTTGACTTGAGTGATCCCCGTAAACTAGGCGGGGTGCCTACAGGGGGTAAAACAAGCTTTTTGGTGTTTTTCTTAGTTTTGAATTCCCTCTCTGATCTTGTTGCTTCCTTGACCTTGTCAGCAGGAGCAATTTCATTCTGCTGTTGGCTGCCTACAGGGGGTACAACAACCTTCTTTGAGTTTTTCTTAGTTTTGATGTCCCTTTCTGATCGTGTTGCTTCTTTGACCATGTCAGCTGGACCAACTTCGTTCAGCTGTTGGCCAGGCACAAAGTAATGCTGGAAGTTGATCCTATCTGTTTCACACTTCAAAATTTCCATCTGATTATCAGAATCGACCTTAGCTTCAGGCCTCTCCTTATAATTACCTTCAAGTGCATGTGAAGACGAAACATGGATTATGTCAACATCCCCAGAAGGTCGTTCAGGATCTAAAGAACCAGACTCAATGCTAGTGGCGTGTTCCAACTCTGAAACAGTCGGTGGATTCTTAGGACTTGCGTTTGCTGATCTAGTTTTCTTTGCTGTTTCAGATGGAGTGTCAACCTTTCCCCTTTTATCATTTGAAGCAGCTGGTTCTCCAACACCACCTTCTTGCTTTTTGATTGGCAAATATGAATGGGTCTTTGCAGCAGAATTCTGCTCCTTTTTCATTTTCTTTTCCGATCTCCTACCCACATTTTCTGACATCTGTTGAGTTTTTCCAGTTTGATTCAACTGCAAACTTTCCTCCTCATTTTGTAGTTCTTCAATTGGCAGATCTGGTAGGCTCTTCATGGTTGAGCTTTGACTCTTTTTCACTTTCTTCATTGATTTCTCACCCATATGTACTCCATTTTCTCGAGTTCTGTCCACCTGAGTTAATGGTGGAAGTTCTGCGTCATTTTTTCTCACATTATTACCTTCCCAATTAGCATTTACTGGAGAAGTATCCACTGACTCTTGTATTGCGGCTTCGTTTCTTTCATTGTGAGACAAGGTGCTCTCGTCTTTTTTATTTTCATAGCTCAAATGATCATCAAAAGCTGAACAATGCGCAACTGAAGAATTTTCAACTGCAGTATTATCTGCACTCTCCATGCCTGATGGATTCTGATTCCTTCCAGCAGACTTCTTGGCCCTCTTTTTTATCCTCCCCTTGCCACCAGAATTTCCTGATCCCATGATCCCATTGGCATTGGACAACTTAGCTGAAAGCACTGGTTGTTTAATATTCAGATCAGATTCATCCTGATGCAAAGGTTGGCACCTTTTAGACACCATTGCTTCAGGAACATGGTTCTGTGACAACTCCCTGTCCTCCTCAATTTTTTCGGTCTGACCGATTTCAAACTTTTGTACATCAGGGACACAAGTTTTCTGTGCAGAGTGATTAATGCCTTTGTTTGTGTTATGAGCCTCTTCGACGACAAGTGGAAGAAATTCTTTCGCATCATTGTCACGGTGCTTCATTGGATTTGTTCCTTTCACTCCTAATCCAGCAACTTGTTCATTTGCATCACTTTTGCCTTCTACATTGCTAGCATCAGGTTCACATATTTCCGTACCTGCAAAAGTTTAGAATTAAAGTCAGCAACAACGGAGCTCTTCTCCTTTTTTCGAGACCTGTGGACATAACAAAGATATTTAGAAAGAAAAAGCAAAAAATTTCCGGCATGGCATATACAGTGGGCTCACCGGGCAATATATGGTGTTCTTTGTTCCCTTCAATCTCTTCGTCAACAGGTTCACTCTGTTTTTTCTTCTGAGAGATTCCAGAAGGTTGAGAAAGTCTCTCATTCTGGATTCTTTCTGCAGGAACAGTCGTGGCATCAGATAACTTAGCTGAATTGATTTCTACATTTTCCTCAAAGCTCTTCTCTTCCCCAACTGCTTGTGCAGAAGGATGGACAACATCAGTGACTTGATTATGGGGAATTGATAAATCCTTTCTTCCTTTCCTCGTCCTCTTCTTCCTGCGTGGACTGGTTTCCAAATGGTCACCATCTGAAGGTTTAGTAACTACACTGTCTGAAGTAGCGTTTATCATTTTCCTGTCATCCCCACTAGAATTATTGGGAATTATAATCTCTGGCTTAGATATCTCTTTACTAGAATTCGAAATTAAGGCTTCTTCTTTTCCCAAAGGGTCTCCACAGGCTTCTTTACTTTTTATCTTATGCTTTTTCTTTGCAGAAAACTTAGGTTGCGAAGCTTCTTCAAATGTGTTATTGCCTTGCACATCACCAACCCTACTCTTAGATGTTTCATTATGGCACCCATTTTGTATCCTGGAGACTTCAGCTGCCCTCTCTTGTAGACTGTCTTTCCTATGCAATCCAGATTCTGACCTCTCACTACCCTCCAAAGATGAGGTCTTGCAAAGTTCATCACCAATGTCTTTGTTTCCCATTTTCACTTCATTTGAAACTTGCCCAACAATATTTGGTTCTGATATATCCTTACTGGATGCATGAATAGACCCATATTCATCTTTGAAAGGATCTTCGAACACTACATCTTCATTGAGCTGCTTCTTAATCTTCTGTTTTTTCTTTGAAGCAGTTCCAGCTCTCAAAGATTGTCCCAGCAAATTATTGCATTGAACACTGCTAATCCCATCCACAGAATTGTCACCCTTGAGCATGGCAGCCATTCCTGGAAGTTTATTACCTTCGCTGACAATATTATACTTCTCTTGTATTTCAAGATCTGATCTCTTCTCCTTGGAGAACAAATCTTTGCAATGGTCACCACTCATAGCAATCGCTTCCATCTCCATATCTTTTGAAGCCTCTCTACAAGAATCCCCTGGAATAGACTTGTTGGCTATAGAAACTTCCCACTTTGCACATTGGGTGCTCACAGGGTGCAGCAATGATGACTGGTGAGCAACTACAATTTTTTTGGAAGCATCATTTGCAAGAACAATGTGTCTATCAACAGTAGTAGTATTTGTGATGCAGAGTAAGGATAGTTGGTTGCTAACCTTCAGCTTGACAAGAATGTTCGTTTCCACTGGGCTGCTTTAAACTAGAAACATCAGCAAAAAGAAACCAATTGTTCTTAGCCCCTTCAAATGCACTCCTTACAAGCATGGACTCTGACAGGTGATAGAAGTGCCTCTTGCGCTTGACCTGCCAAAATCACAACACCTTGTCAATGTGAAGGATATAGTAACAGGAAACTTTTTGATAACCTTTCAATGCATGTTGAAGAAACATACCTTTAGATCATGGATTTTTATCTCCCCTATTTTAGGGAAGTACTGGGGGTGTTCAAGCATTATCTTTTCTGCATGCCAAAAGTGAAAAAATTAGAAATTATTAGTGATTCAATAAACAATGTATTGATGCAAAGTTGATGAGTGCTTAACTTTGACACTCCAAATTGACTTTACGCCAATTGTTGTATAATCTTTTCTACTATCAATTTCTTCTGAAGCACCGCTCAACTCGTACTTCTATGAGAAAGCAAGCTCTATTTGCTTCAAATAGGACTTCCATACCAGGTTTATTTAACCAAGGAGACAGTCACAAGCCAAAAGCCAACTTCTCTCTCTCTCTCTCTCTCTCAATCTTTCTACTATTACCTATAACTGAAGTTATGTGAGTACACATACACATGTATTAATCTTGGCATCCCAAAAAACCATTACAACTTTCTGAGTGGATATGTTGGCATGTAAGTATGTATGCACATAATGCACTAGAGTTCATTTCTATCCATCGCTTACCTTCCAAGCATACTAAGAAGCAAACTAAATGAGCTACTGTTGGAATTTTGGGCTTCATAAACCAATTGTAAAATCAAAAACATAATAACCAGAATCATACAACAAAGTTAAGACATCAACTTGCATCAAAAGTATATAAATAAACGATAAATCAAAAAATGCCCTCCTTTACAACAGTTATATTTCTGTTCGAGAAAGCTCAGCTCAAAAAACATCATTGAATCAAACCACTTATATAGTTTTCAATCAATCCTAAATCATATCACATTTTTCTTTCACTCAAACCTAAATCACTCTCTCACTCTCTCTTTCACACAGGAGAAGCAACTTCTAAGGAAGAAAAAAGAGGAGATAGAGGAGGTTGAACTGGCCAGACAAAATAAAGTAGTTATGACTTTTGATCTGGTTGGCCGCAAGGTTGTATATCTTTACCTCCTGGACTATCCTTTTATGTGAATTTTTTTTGGGGTGTGCATGAATTTTTTTCTCCATTCAACTCCAAGTAGATTCAGGTATATGTGCTCTGATTACATTGTTCTTTGCAATTACGTAGTTAAGTTCCCCTCTCTCATCCTGGACCTTTGATTTTATATACCCATACTTTGTAATGAAAATTTTGATACCTTTTACTTATCTCATGGATTTATGACCAGCGCCATCTCAGTATTATTATTATTATTATTTTGATACCTCTTTGCTGATAATTTCCCGTTTTCATCTTTCTGCTTCCATGGAATTGTTGTATTTCATTTGGAAGGCTTGTTTCTCATGTTTTTCAATATAGTTTTCAATCAATCCTAAATCATATCACATTTTTCTTTCCAAAGCCAATAATGTATTGTAGAGCTTAATCATAAAAAGCATAAGCCCATGCGACCCTTCAAACATTAACTCAAGAGCGCGCAAACAGAGACACACATGCATATATTCAGTTGTGCAAGTACAATCACAATAAGTAAGTAACAAAAACAAAGAGTGGAACTAAGATTACTTTTGAAATCGAAGACAGTCTCAGATTTAGAGACGATCGTAACAAAGTGGGTATCGAGATTGGTGTCGATGAAGACCGTGTGGTAATCAGCTGCTGCCGGCATTGTATCGTCGGATTCGGACTCACGAAGCCGCTTCGCCATTGTTTGTAGGTGTGAGATGAGCAGAGACCACCGGCGAAGAAACCAGAATTCGTGCTGAGAATCAGAGCACGAACCAACCCTTTAAAGGGTTTTGTAGCGCTTTTCCTGTTGTCGGGAGGGAGGGTTTACTACGCAGGGGTGCGTAGAGCGCCACAATGGATGTTTTTCGCTCCCAGACACCGATTGGCCGTTGAGGTTAGCAGTCGGTGGTTCGAACTTGGTCGTCTGACCCAACAAAAGAAAAAGTATCGATGGGCCATTGGAAATTGAGCTTACTTTCAGCCCAAGTATGAAATTTACAGCCCAAGTATGAAAAAAAGTGGAATGCATTGCTGGCGTTATCGAACTGTGGACTTCCTATCAATCTAATATACGAATTTGAAAATAATAGGATCCACTGTTGTGAATAATAAGTGGATTGAGTAATAAGATTAAGGGCATTCTATTTTGCGTAAGCATTTAGATGATTTAGAATGCGACCTGGCATACTTGAAAGGCCTAAAACATGCATGGAAAATAAGGTCAAATTTACCCCAAAAAATTGATTCAAAAATATATTTGACCTACAATTTTAGAGCATGTCCGATGAAAACTTCAAAGGATACCCTCCTCATTTCAAATAATTTTTTTTTTTTGTTATAAGTTGTTCAAACTTGTGTAAACTACTCCTTTGAATTCAAATACTATAATTTGAGTGGGTTTAAAACATGTCTCCTGAGGAACAAGACTGATTGACCCTTAACGGAAATAAAAAGTGTTGAACATATTACCGATAGACATTATTTTCGGGATTACCTTATATCTATTCTAGTTTGATAATTGTTAATCAAACTCGTTCATTGTATATAAGGGATTCTTCACTTATTAATCGTGAATGATGCGTCAATAAGAGAATTGAAGATAAAAATATATTAGAAAAGATCTGAATTCGATCATCTGGACGCAGCAAATTAAGTCGTAGGAGCTAAACAATTCCATTATGTCGTCCTCTCGTCAAGTTGATCAGTTGTAACTTCAATTTTATTTTGTGTTAACTGTCTACACCATATCGATAAACAGAAATACATAAAACATTGATAAGATCATCAGGCACAACATTTTCGATCAATCAGGTGTCCGAATCAGAGTTTATTATTCAACAAGCTTTTCCCCTCCGGCGGATTCCGATAGACAGACGCCAAGCATCAAGAACAGCTTCAGGCAACAAGGAGGCGAAGAACCACTGCACTGAGTGGCCCCAGTAAGGCATGCACCGTGCTTCGTAGCCTATCTGCCGCACTGCAGCTCCAGCGTAATTTTCCGCCGATGGCACGAACAGTGACGATTTCTCTATCAGTGCAACTTTTGAGGTCATTTTGGTTGAGACATATAGTGGTACCTACATTGATCAGGGCCCTCAATCTACGTTAGATAATTGAGGAACCAAAAAAAAAAAAAAGTGCTAATCATGTGATAAAGAAAATAATTTCAGTGGGTTGAGAGTTTTTGTAGCATATCGTAAACTCGAACGTCTTTGTTCGACAATTATATATAATTCTCGAGATTAAGTAACGTAGATTGTGAATCCAAACTTAGCCCATGTTTCCACCACAAACCAAACTCCAACCCCACCACTCTAGTATCTTCTTTAATTAACCAACCATCTCACTCTTTCTCTAGGGCTTGCTTTTAGTCTTTCTATCTACAATAGACCAACCATGTCACCGGATCCAATCCAAATCCCTTCGTGTATATATATATATATATATATTTATTCTAATTCTTTTCTAGGCAGATCATTCATAATTAATTAGTGAGGACCTACTTGTTATATATATATATATAATTTGTATATACTACACATTAATACCTGGCACTGAACATCTATCCCCAAGTTTTTGTATTCCATGTATAAACAACTGGACAATTGATCAATGTACCTGCATGTCCATTTCACCATCTTTTGAATCAGAAGAGAGACTTTGAGAAATGAAAAAAATGTTTAAACCAAAATTCAATATGATGGTCTGTTTAGAGATGATTTTATTAGGTGAAAAGTTATAGTTTCAAAAACTTTGTATTAAATTCAGAGTTAAAAATGTTAGTCAACCCAATCCTTTCATTAAATAAAATAATTCAGTCTAATACAATACAAAATGACAAAAGATGAGATTAAATAGAGTATTAGAATAATACATAATTTTATCTAATATTTAGCAATACAAAACATAAACATTAGATAGTAATTATTTAATCAAATCAGTTGTTTGGTTAGAGAATTTTATTTCATTGTATTAATGTTAAATTAACAAAAATACCATCAATCAGTGTTTGTTACATTGATGACAGCTTAATTTTATCAGTTTAAGGGTTATAATAATATATATATAGAATAATATGTTTAAGTTGGATTATAATATCACCTCTCTTGGTGATATTAAAATCTATATAATAAAGTACAATACAATTTAAATCTCAAAAGATAATCAAAAAGATTTTTACTATTCGTGGTTGAGATCTCTTTAAATTTTTCTTTAAAGTTAATCTGACGGCTAATATTAAAACCTCAAATTTAATAGAAAAAATATGTTTAAAAGAATATGTTTGGAGTGACTTTTTAAAAGTATTTTAGAAATTATTTCTTATAAGTACTTTAAAAAAAATAGTGTTTGGAATCGTCCTACCACGACCTCTACCACCACCATGCCCACCCCACCCCACCGCTGCCGCCACCACCACTATTGCCACCTTACCACACCCACCGCCCCACCAACACCACCACCATCACCACTACCACCATCGTCACTGTACCACCATTATCTCTACCACCCTCATTGCCCCATCACACCATCACTACCACCACCACCATCATCACCCACCATTGATTGCTTGCATCGTCGTTCACTGCCACTGCTACCACCCACCACCATCATCATCTTATTCTTATATTTATTATTATTACCACCATCATCTCACTGCTACCGTCAGCACCCACCATTACCATTGTTGCCCACCGTCGCCCACCGTCACCCATCACCACTCGCCATTTCCCACCATCGCGATCAGCCACTGTCACCCACCCCCACCACACCTACCACCACCACCACTTGTCATCGTCTACCACTGCAGCCACCCACTGTCACCTACCCCCACCACACTTACTATCGCCACTATTTGCCGCCACTCATCACACTGTCGCCTAAAAGCACCCATTGTCGCCCACCACCACCATTGTCACTGACCACCACCATTGTCGTTGTCCCACCATAACCAACGCTAACCACCAGCACCGTCGTCCACCACCATCGTCGTCGTCAACCACTGTCGTTGTCCCATCACAACCATTGCTAACCACTATAACCGTCGTCCACCACCACCCACACTCACCACCACCACCGCCGTCAACCACCATCAACCACGGCTGCCACTACCATCATCATCACTTAAACCCCACCCACCACCATCATCGTTGTCACCCACGACTGCCACCACCACTACGGTTGTCGCTACCCATTACAACTATCATCATTTTCCACCATAACTATTGTCGCCCACCACCACTAATACCGTTCACCCCCATTACAATTGGTACTTACATTTTTTTATCTCTCATTTATATTTGTGATTTGATTTTAAATGTGCATACAAATATGTTTATTGTTGACATTTTTTTTGTTGCTCTGTGCCTTTAGGTACGGAGAATAACTAGTACTTCCATAATACAAGTCTATCGTATAAAAAATATACGATAAATATACGATTAGTATATATTTTTAAAATTAATACGGTATCAAATTTACTAACTAAACAAAGTATTAGATTAAATAAAAAATAGTATAATTTATTATTTAATCTCCTCATAATACGTCTACCAAACAACCACTAATTATTTGTGTGGTGAGAGAAGACGTAGAAGTTGGATGTCTCTTTCTAACATAAATATTTGTATTTCCTTGTGCATATAAAACATGCACTTTGTAAGTTGAATGTGAGGTTTTACAAAGTAATCCTACGAGAAAACTTTTGGTTTGAGTGTGTATATCATTTTTCTGTTTGGCTTATCTTTCAAAAATAAAATAAAACCCAAAACCGTTTAAGGTTTTTTTTAAAAAGTTAAAAAAGTCTATTTTTAGTAACTTTCTAACTTTTTGATTTTTTATGTGAAAATAAAAAATAATTACATACATGTATAGTTTATGCATAATAGTTTCTAAAATATAAATTTCAATTTTTTTTACATCATTAATAATATTTTATAGATATAGTAAACTAAATATTTATGTGGGACCCGTGACAAAAACACCAAAAAAATCAAAATAAAATTTCATAAAATCAACTTCTTAAATCAGTCTAAATAAATTTTTTTGGCTGATTTAAAAAACTACCGCATAAACTTGTCCCGGAGTCCAATTTCAAACAGACTTGACTTATTTTATTCCAAAGCCTATAAAATCAACCTATTTCAACTAGCTCCAAATAAACTCAATGTCACATGATGAGATGGTCGAAGTAAATTTGGGAAGTTTGGGTAGGTGAGTTTGCAAACATTTTCCTAAGAATGTTGAAGAGAATTTTCAGGTAACTCATCCATCCTTCATGGAAGATACCTTTGCATCTATATGTATATCTATATATATTATATACTGCTTTAAAAGGTTACTAAACCCAAAAATATTTTTGTGTCATCATTACCCTCAAACAATATTATGAGGACCATTTTATCATAGCATAAATATATAACAATAGCGTTCAATTAGTAAACCTTTCACATTCTGCCTTCAATGACTGTGGTGCAAAGTATGCACCGGTTGATCTAAATAAGACAACTGTTAGATTTCTACAATTAATTTCTCTTTAAGAACTTTGCAACTTACTGTCTTCCGTCCATTTTTGATAATGCATTTGTCCACCAATATATTGAAAGATCGGCTAATACATTGAAATGCATTTGTCCACCATCATTTTTTTACTTAAGAAGTAGTCTAGTTAGGTCTTGTTTGGTCCACTCTTATAAGTTATTAAATGTTCTTCTCGTTTTTTAAACAAAGTGTTTGTCATTATAAGGTCATATACTATTGTAAACTTTAAAATACTCTCTCTGGCTTCATTTCGATCACTATATCCATAACTATCATGACTCCTCTCATATTGTGTCCTATGTTTTTCTACATGTCCATTGAAATCTCCAAATATGATTATCTTTTCTTTTATAGGCATATATTGAACTAATTCATCAATTTGTTCCCAAAATTAGTTTTTAGTATGTTCTTCTAATCCTACTTGAGGTGCATAAGCGCTAATCACATTAATTATATTCTCTCTGATTACAAGTTTGATAAATATAATCCTCTCTCCTTTCTTTTTAACTGCTACTAAGCTATCTTTATGGCCTTTATCTACAACTATTCCTACTTCATTTCTTCATCTATCCTTTCTTATATAGTAAATCTTAAATTCTCTATTTTCTATCTCACTTGCCTTCTCACCTAACTACTTAGGTTTTTTGTAAGCATGATATACTAATTTTTCTCCAACTCGTAGTGTCTACTAATTATATTGTTTTGCCAGTAAGTGTACCTATGTTCCATGTTAGTAATTTAAGTCTATTATCGTGAACTAACTTTCTTACCCCTGTGAGTGGCACCTTACTTAATTTGTTGCATCAGTCGAAGAGCTCTTTCTTGTAGTCAAATGTAGTTGGGTTTGGTCATTTCAGCACAAGTTCCACGACCCTCTGCAGTTTGTCTACAGGTATGGGACATGAAAAGAGTCTGCAAATTAATTAACTAAAAAGAACTACACCCTTACATAATTTTAGGACTTAATCAATTATAGTTATTAAATTAAAATTAAATTTTTATAACATTTCTGAAAAAGAAAATTATAAAAACAATTGAGTGTAAGAAGTTCCACCACTGCAAGTCTAAAAAGAATTAAATATGCACAATCGTATTTCGTTGCTAGAGACTTAGTTTTGTGACTCGAAACCTTTACATTCGTTTTTAACATAGCAACTTAACCACTACACAGAACTTATTTTTATACTGCCTGCTGGGAAAGTATCAAAAAATTTGTTATTTGGTTTACATCTCATAAACTATTTTTCTATTTTCTAAAATAGTTTCTGGAAGAAAAAATGTTTAGTTAGGTTTTTTTTTTTTTTGAAAACTAAGAGCAAAAAATAGGTATATTTAGAGAATAAGTTAGAACAAGTTAGAGAGAGAGAGAGAGCGAGAGAGAGAGAGGAGATATACGCTTTGGTAGCAGCATAGATAGCATAGAGAGGATGAGAAGGAACAACAATGGCAGCACCAGAACCAATATTAACAATTGCACCTCTCCTCCTTTTGATCATTCCCGGTAGAACAGCTCTTGTAACCAAACTGGTACCCACCAAATTCACTCTCACCACATTCATCCACACTTCCTCTTCAACCTCATGAAACAACCTAGCTTCTGAATACGTAACCCCCACGTTATTAATCAACACACCCACCTCCAACCCTTCAATGGCCGCCTCCATCTCTCTCACTCCGGCCGCCACGTCGCCGGAAAAGTTCAGCACAATAATCTTGATCTGGGTATTCCGATATTGAGCATGAATTTCAGTTGAAACTTCATTGAGCTTGTTGAAATTTCTACTCACTAGAATTAAGTTTAGACCTTTCTGGGCTAGTTTGAAGGCGAAGGCTTTGCCTATGCCATCTGTTGAACCAGTGATGAGTGCCCATGAGCCATAGTTTCTGAGATTCTTTGGAGGTCTGAGGAAGGTGATGAAGACCCATTTTAGGAGAGAGAAGGATTTCCTGAAGAGGAAGAGAAAACCAAGAGAAGAGAGAAGAAATATCCATGGAGAAATTGTTTTTTTTGGGTGATCAATGAAGTCTGAAAGCATCATTCTTTGTGCTTGGAGGTCAGAGAAATAATGATCCTTGGATTACTAGTTCAATAAATGAATGTGATTTCATGTGTATATATTTTCTCCCTTGTATTTTGACTTATGAATTAATGGATCGAATTTTAACATATTTGAATTTAAATTTGATTTTAAAAGTTCAGCCCGATAATTCAACGAATTTTATATTCATAAATTATATCCGAATCTGTTAATAATCTGAAATTCAATCCCAAAAATCTAATCTAATCTGAATATCTTAATTAATTAAATTTTAATAAATTATACATAAATTTTTTAAAATAATCACTTAATTGTTTTAAGATTTATATAGAAATCTTTCTAAGATTATAGTTAAAAAATTAAATACTCAACTTATAAAAGTACAACAATGATCAAGATTGATTCAATCTTCATCTATTTTGATCAAATATACAAAATTCATCCTAAATTTTTTTTTACCGCTCATCTTTTCTCCACAACTCTCTGTGTCAGACAACTTAATCAACCATCAACACTCTTCACTATGTCAAATAATTCTATTAATTCACGCTTACTTGTCTCTTATCTCTCTTATTTTCACACTCTTTTATTTTAATTTTAAATTACATAATTAAAAAAATTCTGTTATTTAACATATAGATATTATATAATCAATATTTGATTTTTAATATAGTAGAGTATCTTTAAATACGTGATTATTACTAGCATATAAATAATTTGGATCAGATTGAGTTCGATCATAATTACGTCGGATATATGTACATCTAAATTTCAAATCGGTATCTGTGGAAAAATGAATTGAGGCTAGCAAGGGACCACAATGCCTTTTAATAAAGCCAATACTCGGTGAAAGAGAGACATCAGCAGCATTCATGAAACCAACGCCCGTATAATAACTACTTTCCGTAAATGGATATTTGCAGTAACTTTGTGTGTTTGTATAAAAAAGGTAGGAATTAATTCTTTTTTGATTTAGAAATTAATTTTATTATAAATTAAGAATAAAATTAAAACTCAATCTCGCAAAATTAAATCTTAATTTGGTGAGAGACTTCACTAATGTGGTATTCCTATGTACGTTTTTTTTTTGTTTAGCGGTTAAGAAAGTCTATGCCAATTTATGTGCACTTCGATTTGTTCTCTATCCGATCTAATCAAATACAGGTCATCCACGCTGAGATTAAGATATTCATGTAGGATAAATCTGTCATAACCTGACCCCTAAAGGGTTATTAAGATTTGAATTCAAAATATTTAAATTTAAAACTCGTCTCTTATTACCACTTGAATTCCTTGAAGTTTTCTGCGTAAGTTGTATTACTAGTTCTACTATGCATTTTTGCATTTATGGGTCAGAATTCCAGAATTTTTTTAATTTTTCTTTTAGAATTCCAGAATTCATGTATAGGAACTTTGTCATTTTTAATTTTTGAGTCATATTCCTATATCTTTGTGTATTATAATTAAAAAACATTTAATCAAGATTATGTTTGGAGGGAAAGGAAAAAAAAAAAACAAAGTTGGGGTAAATTTTAAACCAATTGATCAAAATAGATAAAAATAATAATTGAATAAATTTTAACCGTTATTGTACTTTTATACATTAAAAATTCAACTTCTTAATTATAATACTAGATTAATGACTACTATTTTTTTTTAAAAAAAATTATTTCAAACACATAATTACTCATTTACCCAACATCTATAATATAAAACAGGACAGACTTCAATAACCTCATTCGACAGTCTTAAATAGACTCATCTAACGGATATCAATATCCCTCTCAAAACTATTCACATTAAATTTTACCTTCATTTTTTCACTCTTCACTCTCTCTCTCTCTCTCTTTCTCTATTAGGTATCTTCACTCCTCACTTATTCAAATTAACCAGTTGGTTTACGTTATATCGTGCCTGAAGGCACGAATTACCCTTAATATAAATAAAAACAAAGAACCATCACAGAACAAATAAGCCTAGTCTTGGCGTGGATGCAAAGCTACCTATGACTGGACTGAGAAATGAATTAATTAAGGTGCGTATAAACTGGTTCAAATCACTATTGAACTACATAACTGTTATATTATTAAATCAATAAATTATATCAATGTTTTAGATTCCGGTAATATTACTCTTTCAAAAATCATTGGCTTACATAAAATTGATTGAGACTTAACATAAATCATTGGTTAGGTTATGTGGTTTGCACACAAACCATTCTTTTTAAAAAAAATTTTGCAATTCTAATATAAACCTCTTGCCATCAAATTTTCCTAAAAATTCATCAGGAGCGAAGATGGTATCATACCAATTTTTTTTCCAATCATTAATCTTGTTTTGATTTATTTATAATTGTTAATTGTGAAAATAAAAAGAATAAAATACAATAATAACAAAATATAAAAAGATAATAGGGTAAATTAAACTCACACCCCTTGACATTTGACTTTATTATACGGACATTCTCTCACATTTCAAAAATTACACTTAGACCCCAATGGTTAGACGGAGTTAATTCTCTTAATAAAAAGACTAATTTGCCCCTCTATTTAACGCAAACTCAAACCCAAACTCAAACTCCAAACCCTATCCCTAAACCTAATCTTCGCCTCCTCTGCACCAGAAATCCCAATGATTCTCTCTCCCCCAAGCGATCCCAATCATCAGTCTTCTCTTTCTCTCTCAGCCCATCTCTGTGTGTGCGTGTATATATGTATATACATACATATATACATACACACATACAAAGAGAGGAAATACTTGCCTGAAATGGCAAAAAAACTGGCAAAAATTGCCAACCCCTCCCCACCATTGCAACACCCTCTAGTAGCCTTCCTTGTCCAAAATGTCAATGGTGGTTTTGGGGTTCGATTTTGACAACGGTGGTTGTTGGGTGTGTGTGTGGTGTGGTTGAGGAGGTGGTTTTACTAGATTGTGGTGGTGGTGGTGTGTGTTGTGTGGTTTGCGGAGATGAAATGGAGATGGAGGTGGTGGAATTTTACTAGATTGTGGTGGTGGTGTGTGTGTTGTGTGGTTTGCGGAGATGAAATGGAGATGGGGGGGGTTACTTTGTCACTGAAAGTGGTGGTGCTCGATGTATGTGTGTGAAGAGAGAGATAGAGAGAAAGTGGTGGTGGTTTCCATGGTGTGGAGGTGGCGATGGGTGGTGGGTAATGGTGGATAATGGTGCATTTAGGGGCAAATCTAGATTGATAAATAGAATTTACATAAATATGTTATATAATAAAATAAAAAATTCTAGTTTAAATATGAAATATAAAATAGAGAAATGATTAATGAGAGATGGGATAAAATTTTGGGTAAAAAGAACAAATATTTGAATTTTTAAATTTAGTTTTGAAGGGTATTTTTGGTATTTCACAAATTATTATTGATGACATCCACTTTGTCCGTTAACCATTCTAATGCCTGATAGTTGGAGGGGGTGTGGTTGTTATAAGTTTTAAATATGTAAGGAGTTTTTTATAATTGTTGAAACGTGAGGGGTATCTATGTAATAAAGTCAAATGTCAATGAGGTGGTTACACGTGTACGTCATGATGGTCACATGCTTTTTACTTCATTAAGTGTCTATGTCCCAGAATCCAAGTGTACGTCATTTGGAAAAGAGGTAAGACACGGGAGTTGATTGCGGTAACCGGGGTATAGTAACTCCAAAATTTATTATTGGAAAAATTTTAGCCACACGGCCACGGACATTTTAATTTATCATATCTTTAAAAATATTTTTTTTATTTTTAAAATTTTCGCTAACATTCCTTCTCAGATTAAAGGCCTTAACTAAAATACAATTTTATTAAATTATCCATGATAATATATTTTAGGAAAAACTTCATTCACACTCTTTCTAAATAGATATATCTTCAATGATATCCCCTCTGTTTTATAAATTTTTTTACGAATTAAAATTTGATTCGCGAATCAAATTTTAATCAACTCGCATTAAATTTTAATTGGCCTGAATTTTGATATATAAAAAAATATAAATTTTAATCGACTCAAATTTTAATACGTAAAACATGAATTTTAAATCAATTTGAATTGAATTTTAATTAACACGAATTTTAATAAATAAAAATATATAAATTTTAATCGGCTCGATTCAACACTGATAGCTCAAATTGAGCTCAAATTGACTCGAATTTTAATACATAAAAAAATAGAATTTAATCAGCTCTAAATGAATTTTAATTGACTCAAATTTTAATATATAGAAAAATAAATTTTAATCAGCTCAAATTTTAATATGTAAAAAAAATTATAATTTTTGTAGGTTATTTTATAATAAAAAAATTTAACGCTTTTGTGGGTGATTTATCACTTTTATTAGTGTTTTTATCACTGTTGTGATAACTATTTTATCACTTTTTTTTGGTACAAAAAAAATTACTACTTTTATAGGTGACTTACCATTTTTGTGAATATTTTTACTACTATTATGGATGTTTTTACTACTGATGAAGTAACGTATTGCTCTCTCGGTTAACAATAATGGCTAAAATCGGATATTCCACAATAGAGAGATCTTAATGGTCACACTCAAAGGTTATCACCTAGGCGTCGCTTCTTCCTCTATTTGCACAACAAAAAAAAAAATCATAACCTTATCAGAGTGTAGGGTAAAGATTGATCAGGCAGGTAGATTCACATTGGGTCCAAACATTAGGCGTTCTCTCTACACACACACAGTTTTGGTAGAACATTCCCGGTGTACCTCGTTTGGACCCTTGAATAGCTGGTAGAAGACTAAACCTTGCATCAGAAAGCAGCTACATCGTACATGGATCCTTACATGGAATCAATATCAAACTACTTTTATTTTCTAACTTCATTCACATATACTATGATTTCTAACTTATTTCTTCATTTACAGTCGGGTTTAAACTTGCTCTTTTACATTGAAAAGCGTTGGTTTAAACTGCAATTTTATGAAAAACCAATAATTGGGAAAATGCATTAGAAAATTACTGTAAATGGAAAATAAAGATAAGAGAATAACAGTTTTCCTACTCCCCTTGCATGAACATTGCAGAAATGGATATACCACTGGACCTACTCACAATAAAGTTCTCACCCTTCATCCATGATACTACATGAATCTATCCTGTGATATGCCATTTATGGCAATTTTCTGATGTGTGGTTCTCTCTGCTGTGGTCCTAAATGTTGTTATGGACCACTTGTTAAGAGTAACTCAGAGAGAATAGCTGGCCAAAATATATTTTCTTTATCACACTATCTATTTTAAAGACTAACTTCTACTAATTCAGCCCAACAACGCTTTCTATTTTAACTAACTATTTCAACTAACTTTAACTACAAAACCCACAAAACTCACAAAATCCAAATGCTCAGGTACCCACAATCCAAATATTTTGGTACCCAACACGAAAATCCACAAAATCTAAATACTCAGGTACCCAACTATCCAAATGGATTTTTGCTCTGATTTTGTGGGTTTTTTGATTGTCTTCTCTCTACCCAACACAAAGAGTTGATGAAGATTTTTCAGTTTTTCGGTTGTCTTCTCTCTGATTTGGTGGGTTCTTGCTTTTCGGTTGTCTTCTCTCTACTGGGTGGGGTTTCAGTAGATTTTTGGGTGAGATTTTGTGTGTTTTTCACTGAGATTTTTAGGGTTTTTTGTGAGTTTTCTAGTGGGATTTTTTTGGGTTTTTGCTGGTTTTTTTTTTTTTTTTGGGTTTTCCAGTGGGAACCAACAGAGACCAAAGATGGAGAAAGAGAGAGACAGAGATATAGAGAGAGAGGCTTCCGTGCTTGATGAAGACGATGAAGACAACCAAGAAATACCTTGGCGCAAAAACTAGCGATCCCCTTTGCCTCGCCAGAAATAACTAGCAAATTGATGTTATGGGAAATAGCTAGGGCAGATAGCTAGGCTGTTGGAGGAGAAATTTAGGAAGACACCATGTAAACTAGCTAAGAAGGGTTGCTCTAAGACCTACCTAACACTGAACTCGAATAAGTTATTGCATCATGAACATTCACTGTCATTTGCGTTGAAGTTCATCAAAACCATATCCATCCACCCCTCTTTGCTTGCATAGCAATCATCAGCTTTTAGTCACCAAGTCAAATTTGACTTGTTCAGATCGTAACTTGACCTAATGATTTTTTTTTTTTTCAATTTCATCAGTATCATAGACTTTCCCTTACGTAAGGGCTAAAAAAATAGCCGTAAGGTTTCAGAACTTACAATTTTCTAGTTGCGGAGTTGCCTGTACTTCCTACTATTTCTTCAAAATTCATGCAAATCACAGCTACAGAAGGCCCGGGATATCAGATTAAAGGACAGTAAAACAAATCTGTAACATTTAAGTTTACTTAATCTCTCCCGGCTTAAATGGTCTATCCACCAAAAACTACATTTATGGATTTTTCAGCCGAATGTATATCACTGTCAGTGATGTGTTAATCCTTTGAATAATCATCAGACCAACCTTGGTACAGAGCTTCTATTCTTTCACAGCTGAGCACTGTGCTTAAATTTGCAGCAGAAGCAGCTGCTACAATTGTCCATTTTCCAGTTATGTCTTGAAGAAAAATGTGTTCATAGGCCGATGGCTTTGAATTCTGATACCAAGTAGGAGATACACGACCAATCAGTCCATACACCATACCTGTATCTTTCTTGCATTGCTCCAGGGTCAAACAGCCTCAATTCTCTTCCCATTCCTTGGTGCCTTCCCAGCATCTCGTAGAAAAAGAGTAAGCCTCTCTGTGCACCTCATCCGTAAGTCTGGTGATATATTTTTATAGCAATAGAATCATAGCCAGTTTCTTGTTTTTCATTGCAGCTCTGCATCATGACTATGGCTGCCTGAGTCACTTGGAATATGCTCCTGTGAAAAGGATCATCTGCACAATGAACAGAACTCAATCTGGGAGAGAAGTTCCAACCTGTCCCCTGTTCCAGCTCAAGGCCAGCTGTTCTCATGTTGGCTTCTTCTTTGAACTTCATGTAGTGCATGGATGACCAGTAATCTTTTGCCAAACTCTAAAAAGGAAAGAGAAA